AGAGTAAATTTTTTTTTTTTTTTTTCAGTGTAGATGTGGTGGTTCTTTTTGATGAAATACAGAAGCAAAGGAACATTTGCCAGAGGAGGCTAGAGAGTGTAGCAGGCTATTGTGGTATTTGTGGAAGAAGAGGTGAACTTTTGGTAAATCTCATGGAGATTCAAAGGAGAGATTGTGCATCTGAAAGCATATATTATTTTTTTTTAAACTCTGGTTTTGTAATACAAAACTAAAAAAATTGATGTTAACACTGTGCTAAAAAATAGGCTGCGGCTCTGTATAGTCTTTCAAATACAGTCAGCCCGAAGTCTAGTTGGATCAAAGCATCTCCTACAGTACCAACAGGCAAAAAGACCTGCTGTCGAGCACATCTCCCTGCTCCTCCAAACTTCTCTGTGACAAACACTGCTTCTTCAGCAAGCCATTTCCACTCCAGTATCCAAAAGTATCCAAGAGTGAGTGTTGCCCTAGTAAATCTGGGAAATAGAATTAATAATCTGTGCATGAGGCTTATCAAATGAGAGCTGGCAGACACTGCAGTAAGGTTTCCCTCCTGGATCCGTCTCCGTAAGTTGTAACACCTTGCCAGACCCCATCTGAGCGACCTCATTTCTTCAAGAATTGTTATGATGGGGTAGCGTGGTCGAGGGACAAGGAATAAGGATAGGAGGGGCTGGCAGGCAGTACCGAAGAGCTGGGAGTGAGATGCAGGGTCAAAGGAAAGAGCAGCAGGACTGCCTGGAGAGATGGGAGTGTGAAGGAGGTGGTGGCCGGCTGTCATCCCAGCCTCAAAGTCTGGCTTTGTCAAGGAGCTATCTTGCATCAGCAAAACTGAAGTACTGCTTGTTTTGTGATACAACGTTCGATAAAGGAAGATCGTTCCTGTTGGCTTTCTTACCCTGCATTTCTTCAGCTGCCATACCAAGCTGTCCTATATTCATAGTCTTGCTTGGTCCTGCTAAAATGGTCAAATCTATGTGTTTCCAGGCTTGTAATGTTGAAAATCCCACATTCTCTGGAAACTTGCCTGTCTCCATAGTGTAAGGCTTTTCTGACTGTGCATTTATAACATTTCGGTTTATTAATACTGTTTGTGCAATTTGACCACAAGTGGCTCTGGGCTGAGCAGTTATTGGATTTGCTAGCATAAATAGTGGTGCTTAATTGAGCCTAAATTATTTGTAGATGTGGAGCATGCTTATTTCCTCTGCCTTTTTACCATCTTCCCCAATTAACTTTCATTTCTCTGTTTTTTTTCAGAGCAAGGAAGTGGGATTGCAGCTCCAGGAGGACTTGATGAAGGTCTTAAATGAACTCTACACGGTAAATCAAACTGACTTCTTGGCATCTTTTCAGGCAGAAGGGAGAAGTGTTTGACTTCTCCCAGCCTGCTGTTACAGCAGAGACTAAGCACCAAGGCTGATAAATGTCTGCAGTCCTTGCAGTTTGAGGCAGCTTGTGTTCAGCAGTCTGTACAGCACCGTAAATCTCACTTTTTCACTCTATCCTTCTATTGTTTCAGCTCTGTAAGTGTTGGCTCCGCTTCTCAAAGATCTCACCTTAATGCACACCTGCTGCTAGCTGCAGTATTGGTTTTAAAGAGAATAAGAGATATTAGGATTATTTCCAAATACACTAAAAATCTTCAGTCCATGGGTTTTGTGCGGTCTAGGCGTACAAAAGGCAGCATTCAGCGCAACGGGGGGACCCACTGTGTTTATTTATTCCTCAACTCTTTCAGCAAATCAGCTCCCTTTAGACTCATAGTCTTCCATCTGTGCTCTTTGCTTCTCAGTACATCCATTGGAGACACCAGGAAAGAGGCGCTGCCTTGGGAAGGAGAAGGAATGTGTTCATAAAAGTTCATGTGCTGCTTGGGGGTTTTTCTTCTCACATAGATGAATGGAAAAGCCTGCTGTTTGATTAAATTTTTGCTTTCTGCAGCTGTTACTGAGCTAGTTCTCTTTTGAAAGCAGAACCTGCACAGGGTTTTGTTGCTCAAAATGTCTTTTCTTTCGTCCTTTCTTAATGATACGTTGAATCATTATACTGAGGTACATGTTCTTTCCTTCATTCTTTCAAAAGATGATCCAGGGATGTTTCTCAAGCCGTGGCATATCAGCCTTGTCATGAAATTCGGTATTACCGTCAATGCTTGAGTATTACGGGGTTTCCCTGAAATTTCCCGTATCAACAAAACGTAGAGAAGGGAGTTGTTTCATTAAAGCATTGAAGCCAAATATTCAGACTAATCTTTTAGGAAAAAAGGGAGCTCAGGAGTACGAAAAATGTTCTTGCTGCTGAACTGGCAGTTGAAAAGGTGAGACACTGAAACCAGTTTACGATTTTCCCCCTCCTGAGGGTTAGAGTGCCCAGCATTACTGAGTCTTGTCTGTGGGCCAAGAGGGTTTGTATTCCTCGACAGGGAAACCAAGAACGAGCAGTACGGTGGAAGCTAGAGGCACTTTGAAGCTGACCTGTGGCTCGATGTACTGTCACTCGAGTTAGTACAGCCTTGGTTTACAATAGCATGAGCAAACTGGGTTGTGCTCGTGTTCCTGAAAGGCAGGCTATTTACTTTGGGTATGAAGGTGGCTTTGTAAATGTAGCAGTGCCTGTCATCAGCGCTGCCTACTCTAGAAATTATTTTTTATTTGAGGGCACAATATGATTCAACTTTTGAGTCATGTACTTGGATGGGATCCTAAGCAAGAATACAGATCTGTCTCTAAACACAGACTTTTAGGAACTGAGATTTATTTCTAATCCAAGTTCACGTGGCACTGAAGTTGATAAGGTGGCTGGGTAGTGGAGTTTACGTAGACATATGTAATAATTTCTGCATGCCGGGCTCTGACAGATCATTGGGCCAAATACTGAGTCCCGATAATTTCTCTGTCGCTGGAAGGAAGAGCTTCCAGAATTCAACCTTTGATAAGCAAAGCAACGTAGTGTATTAACTTTTCTAATGTCGGTGCTGGGAACTTGAAATCTATTTATTAATTCCTTCTGCTGTAAAATTTTAAATTGTCCCTTGACTAGAAAATTTCTTTGCCTTTGAAAAAGCCATTTCTGCTGATCATATTAAAAGATATTTCTTACTGGACTTGGTCACTGGTTGGATTGCTTTTATTGGTACTTTTAGAAATACTTCCACCTCTTGTTCTGCTGGGCATCCAAAGGACTGGCAGAATCCCTGTTTTCAGGCAAAATGGATATGGTCGAAGTCTTTAGTTTCCTACAGATACAACATAGAGGATTGTTGTAAGCTGTAAGTTTTTGTCCTGAATTGGCCTGTGCCATCGGTCCTTGGCTCTGTGGTTACCCTTGGCAGGCACTTGTTAGTCAGCGGTGTCCCCCTCGCCAGTCGTGGGACAGGCAGAGCTGGCGGCTGCCAATGGGACACCATCAGCAGGATAAAAATCGTGAAAATCGTGATTTCTGCCAATTCCACTTTCAGTGATAGAGGAAAGAAACTACTTTGCATGCGTTATTATAAATGTCTGCTTTACAGTCTAAGCATATGCAGGAGCTGAAAGTGTGTGTGTGTGTGTAAATTATTCAGAAAGTCTCTCTTTAATACCGGCTGCATTCACGTTCTCTTTCATGTTTAAATACGACGTCTCTTTGTATCTGAGAACCTTTGCTGATCACTGCATACAGAGAGGGCGTGCGTCCTACTTACGTAAAATTATATTATGGTTCAAACTAAGGTGAAACAGGTATAAATGGGGTTTTACCTGAAATAAATCAAAAGATTTACAAGTGGGGTCTTTATTAATGCTGGAGCGACACTATTGCGGTGCCTTTAGGCAACTGTGCATTTTTTTGGCCCCCTATCAAAATTATGTCATCATAATGCTTGCTTTGGTATGTGAAAGGAATTGCTTTGCATTTGTGGACTAAAAAGAGCTAGTTTATATATTATGTCCTTTAGTATTTTGGTTCTGTTTTCTTAACACAAAGCTAGGCATGAATATCCTGTGAAACAAATGGGGTTTTTTTGTGACTTTGGGGAATATTTATCTATACTTACTTATAAAAAATGTGCTATAATAAAAGCTATCCATATAGTACAGGATCTAGGTCTCCCTGAGCAAAAGAACCACCCTCTTTTATTAATATTTTTATTACATAAGGTGAACAGAAGTACTTTTATGTATCAAATTTGGTTTAAACAAATCGCACCCGAGTTGCTTTTGCAGCCATTGTGTTCAGACTGTCGATTTGCATACGGTTCCTCGAGACTTGTGATGCTGAAAGGACTGATTCATCCAGATGAAAGACTGATAGGCATCCCTTCTGAAACCTTACCTGCTGATGAAAAGCTATCATTTTCCAGCGTTGGCATATAATTTTATTTGAATAGTAAGGAGCCTGGATTTAGTCTGTATCTTTTTTTGGGTTTTATGACTCCTTTATTGGCTTGTACAAGAAGGCGCATGCCAAAGTTAAACAAAGAAGCAGCTGCAAAATAATCCACTTTGATTTCAGATTCATTTTGAGAGCCACACTTTATTTATGCATCTTCTGTTGTGCTTTTTTGAGATGTGAAATTTCCTTGAGTATTTTTCTGATTTAGATATTTCTAACTCGCAACTAGCAACCAGATCTGACTTGTGGGTCACTGTCCAAATGCGTTTGCTTAGTTGGTATGGTGTCTTGCATTTAATATAAACACAATGGAGAGCTATTATGAAATAGTTATGTTAAAGAAACTTATGGTTTTGGGGAGTGCATTGACTAAATTAAAAAAAAAAAAGTGTTGCAGCATGTGACTTCTTTCTTAGGATTTTTTTTCCTTCCTCTGAGCCTGTGAGTATTACTGTTCTCCCTAAGCCTTGGCCATGCAGATAAAGTAAGGCAGAATGTCTGTATGCCTCGTTTGTTGCTTAGGTAAACCCATTTCCTCCTCAGCAAATCAAGCTGTAGCGCGCTCTGACTCTTGTGTATCACTTTATGCAGGTTATGAAAACCTACCATATGTACAACGCTGACAGCATTAGTGCTCAGAGCAAACTGAAAGAGGCAGAGAAGCAGGAAGAGAAGCAGATTGGGAAGTCGGTGAAACAAGAGGACAAGCAGACACCACGCTCCCCCGACTCGACTTCCAATGTCAAGTTTGAAGAAAAACATGTTCGACGAAGCTCTGTCAAAAAAATAGAGAAAATGAAGGAGAAGGTATTTCCATAGCATCGCTACTGCTCGTGTAGAGTGCTTGAGGAGGGGACCTTTGCAGTAGTTCAGCACAGGAGCTACTGAGTTTCCTCCTTTGTGACATTCAAATGCAAGTCCCAGTGCTTTTACAAGCTTTAAACATTTGGTTTTAGGAAAGGCAAAAGCTGACATCAAGTTTCTTTTAGGACAATCAGATACGCATTTTGTATTATCCCAGGTTATACAGGCATGGCACAAAAAAACTAAAATGAGGTTAGAGTATGAAAGTAACAACTGCCTTCTTGGAAGTCATGGTTAACGTATTTTTTTCTTGTACAGAGTACAAGATTTTTGTTTCCCATTTCATACCAGCTTGAGATCTGACCTGTGCTACAGGGAGACATGCAGTCCCAAACTGACTTCAAGGGCAGAACCAGTTGCCTTAGCAATCGGTCAGTTAGTTAAGTAGTTCAGCACGAAGATTCAAGCCAATAGAAGCTGAAGAGTTGTTTTTTGATTGATTTAGGCTCTGAAAGGACCAAGTTTAGGCCTAGCTTCTGTTGGAAGAGGTGGGGTGCCTGCAGAAGCCCTCAGACTACCTATGGGCTTCTAGCAGCCGCTCTGGTAGTGCTGGAGCTGGGCCATAACCTCATAAACCCACCTTGTTCCTTCATTCTTCCCTTAGTCTTCCCCAACCCACAGTCTGTTTTGAGAGAAGACTTTAAAAGCAAAGCTGTCTAGTATAGTAATGCTTGAAAACACCTACATAATTAATCTAAATTCTAAGTCTTTGAGTCTTATTAAGACTGGAATCCAAATGAACAAAAACTGTGTGAGCAGAGTAAGATTTGTTCAGTATTCTGTGGTGTTACTCAGAATGCTACTACTCCTGCTGCACCTCTTGTTAAAATGCATTCTGTTTTTGGTTCTCTTCTAGCGCCAAGCGAAGTATACAGAAAATAGACTGAAGGCTATTAAGGCAAGAAACGAATATCTGCTAGCTCTGGAAGCCACCAATGCATCTGTATTCAAGTATTACATTCATGACCTGTCTGATCTCATTGATGTAAGTGCTGCTGCTTGGGTGCCTGCAATGAATATCATTGCCTTTAACCCTCACATGTGCCTCTCCTCTTTCAACATGTTCTGTACTAGCACAACTGGTAACGTCTGTACAGCTGTGCAATGATGGTCGTGGATGGGCAGCTCAGAGGGTAACAACAGGCGTGATAGTTGGTCATTAAGCTGTTAAGTGAGCTTCTCTTAAATGGCTAACTTGGTTTGTTGCACAGGTGGAAGCTTGCACAAGAAACCTGGCATTGAAATGTGTAGAAGGAGGAGTTGCTCAGTTAAAATGAAACTCATCTTCAGTATCACACTGTTGCATGACATTTTCTATTTACTATTTTAAGCAAACCCGCAAGATTATAACTCAAACGCTTTTAAAAAAAGAATGTTAACACTAAAAACAGTGTACCAGTTGGTAAAAGAAATTGAGGACAAAAGCATTTTCTAAAGCTGCTTTTAACTTGTTTTTAAAAATTCCATATATTTCAAGGTTAATGCTTTCTCTAGCATAGTTCAGGAGAGAGATGAACCTCCCTGCTTATTAGACCTTCCATTCTCTGATACCCCGACCCACCAGCTCTACAGCATCTTGATGCATTTCTTCTGTCATTGGCACTGCAGAGCACTTTCAGGCCAATTCTGAAAGGCGTCAGAGGATTGTCAACAATGATAGAGGTTCCAGTGCTTGCCACTCTGCAGTCTCTCTCTCTACACAAAGAAACGAAGAAATAAACTGGCTATAGAAACCAGTCCCCCCTTTCCTTAGAATACTCTCTGCAGAAACTGGGTAATGGAGCAGAAGGTGGAGGGGGCTTGTTCCCCAGCTGCCTCCATGCTCTCTGTTCTGCACCTGAATGATGCCCCCAGTATTTGGGGGGCATCAGTTCTGCTTTTAGTAAAATGCACAACAAAAAAACCCAGATCTCTCATCTTTGAAAACTCAGAAGAGCCAGTTAGGAATCCCAAGATTTTTTTCGCAAATGCATAACTACTCACTTCAGCCTGCAGAACTAGAGTACCAAATGCACTGAAGGCATCGTGTCTGGGTCACTGACTGTTGCTTGATCATCTCCCAAGGACAGCCCGCTGCTGTCACTATTAGAAACACTCAACTGCAAAGCCTGAAGGGAACTTTCTTCGTAGGAGGGGGGAGTAATGAACACAAGTGTCTCTAGACACAGGCAGTAAAGAGCCCTCAGATCACTGTTAATTAGTCAGCTATTATAATACCTAATGGTATATATAATACATTTATTCAGCTGATCATAAAATCATGTGAAGTGCACTTCTGCTAGGTATTTATTTAAACCTGCCCTTTGGAGGTCAGGATTGTCAGTGCTAGATGGTTTTGAAAAACACTGTTATTTGAAAATGCCACATTTCAAAATTTCTGTACTGAAGAGGCATGTTTTGTTCTTACCTGCTGTCTGGTTCAGACCTTTTTTGGTTAACGTTTGCTCAACTTGAATTGTGCCATCTTCGTTTTTTAACAAATGATAACTTTCAGTATATTTTTATATTGAAACGTACAAGATAAGATTCATTTCACTGACACCAGCATTAATTCAATTGTCTTATTTTTTTCCTTTAAAATCCTCTCTGTAAGTCCTCCCCCAAATAATGAAAATGTGCTTGGTTCAGTTGTCTGCTAACAGACTGTTCTTAGTACATTTTCATGCATCACTATGTAGTAAAGAATCCATTTGGATTTCATAAATGCATAACAATTTTTAAGCACGGACCTGGGATGATTTAAGTAGTACATTGACAAATACGGGTTATCCAGCTTTGAAGGAAGTTCTTCTCTCACTAGATAGCCTCAGCTGTCTCTGGGGCATGGTAGGCAGTGGTGCAAGACCAGAAGCCAAGCTTCTGCAGTGCATGGATTCGTCACTGTACCTAGAGAGGAACCATCGTGGCTCTGGGTGAGTCCAAGCCCATGTTAACCCCCTTGTGTTCCTTGGGGCATTCAGTTTAACACTACGTTGCAAGTTCTCATAATCTTTAAAAGAAAAGTACTATCTGTTTTCAGAAGGCATGGAAAAATGTGGGACTTGCCTGGGAGCACAGGAGATGCAATTCAGTTATCTCATTGTTAAGACGCAGGGAATATAGATTTACTAATGCCTTTGATCCTAAAGGATCAAAAATTAACAATTATAACCAGTGATGGTTATCTGAAGCATCTGACTTAAATAAAATGTGATTTTTAAGCCAGGTCTTAATTCTTTTCCTTGATCTAATCATTTGAAGAGATTGAATTTTGAAATATAATATAAAATCAATCTTCAAAGTTACTTACACATAGATTGTGTTAGGTCAAATAGCATTAAACTTGTCAGGTTTATACAACACATTGTGTTCCCCCTCCAATGTGCGTGGAAGGATAACAGTGAGTTAATTCTTCGTTGTGAGTTAAGAGCAATAAATTGCTCCTGACATAGCCCAGTAGTTTTGAATTTCCTGACTTTGGGGACTGAGGCAGCTCTTTGATGCTGATGAAATATTACAGTAATGGGGAAGTTTGTATTAACTCATATTTATGAAAGGGTGACTAGGACAGAATTTTAAAAAAAGACAAAAACGTGTGTATGTTGTGAGTCCTAAAGCTTACTTTACTCTTCTAGGAATAGGTATACTATTGCTGTTTACTCCAGGATCTCATACTTTCCCTTCCAAATGTAAATTGTATTTTAAAATGGAGGGCTCTTTCTCCTTAAATCTTCTATTTTGAGCCTGTTTGAAAACTGCTAACTGGCAAAGGGTTAATCAGCTGTCATGTTGGGAAGGGAATTTGAATGAGTTATCATTAAATTCTTATAAAAAATTGATTTCCTTGGAGAATGATTCCATCAAACATTTATATAACCCAGAAAAGGGATGACAAGACTGTTACATTTATAAATACGGTATGCCGGACTTTTAAAAACGTTAAAGTGGGGGAGTGGGCTGAAAAATGTTTTCTGTCACTGACTCCAATAACATAAAGCCAAAAAACTTTGCTGTCTTAATGTAGTCCTGCTGCTCAGTGAAGTGGAGTGTAAAATAGGAAGTCCCATTCACTTTCTCGTCCCACCGGCGAACTCCCCTTGTGCCGCAGATCAGCTTTCCTTCCGGACGCGGATGTGTGCTGGAGGAGGGCGAGCACGGGGAGGACAAGCTGGTCACCCTGGGTGGGTGTGCAACCCTCTGGCCCACAGCAGGAGGGGAAGAGGAGCGCTTGCTGCTGTTAAATCTGAGCTGGTCCTCATCCTGGCTGGACTGTTGGCCCAACTCAGACTGGCTTTCCCCAAATCACGACAGAGAACGGCACTGTGATGTGTATGCAGAAGAGCAGCAGCTTTGAGTGGCTGTTGATCCAAGACTGCCTCCACACGTGCAAATTCTCAATCAAGTGTCTTTTGTTGTTTTGGTTTTTTTGGCTAGTTTTTGTTCTTTCTGATTGAATGTAATGTCCTTTAATTCTCTGCCTCCAGCCTAACCAGCAACTGCAGCTCTTTTTACAAGACTTCCCCCCCCCCTGCCACAGCTTGTTGGCACAGGAGCCAGGCATCCAGCAGCACTTGGTGACAGAAATTCTGTGAAAGCAGGGAATGGTCCAGTAGTTGCTCTCTCTTCTCTCTCCCTCCACCCCTCCTTCCCCCCCCCTTTGCGTTTGCACACAATGACAGTGATGAGACCCAAATGATGGGTGAGGAGGAGATTTCATGTGAATTTTGCTTACAGAGCAGCACAGCAATCAAGCAGATGGTCTCTTTCTTTTTGGATATTCTCCTAGCGTATGTAATCTTGCTTGTAATTCCAAGAAGGTGGGCTCCTTCTCGCTCATTTTATTAGATGTCTGAAAAATTCAGGCTGTTTCTGATCAGCTAATGAAAAGCGCCTTTCTCCCTTCTGAAACATTAAGACTTGGCCGCACAGCCATGGTAGAGATGAAGCTGCTTGATTGTCTTCCAGTGACATCATCCTGGTGTCAGTAATAGCCAGGAAATTCTTGACCACGACCACTTTCTGCTTAAAAGTTTTTTTGCTCTCTGTTTCACCCCAGGAATGACATCATCCCAACTGTGATCGCTGCTTGCTTTTTGGATGACTCTGTTCTTTATGCTTGTGATGTACAGGTCATGTTCTTGCTTCCTGAAGTACACTGAATGAAGCATTTCCTGTATCTTGGGTGGAATTATTTAGATGCAGATTAACCTTTGCAGATGATCCAAATCCTGTCTTGTTTCTCCAGATAGTACTTTAATGCCTTGTTTTCCTCTTGCTTTGAATAATTTTATTTAAGGATTTTGGAGTGTGTTCAGTGCGAATCAGTGCTCCTAAAAGTAAGGTTAGAATTTAAAGAAATACACTGCCATACTATTGAACATACCCATTTCTAGGGTACTTTTTTTTTTTTAAAAAAAACCAACATGAAATAAAGTCTCTAGTACTCCAAGAGAACTCCGCAGACTGTTACAGTATTTTAAGCTGTACTTGTCTTGGGGACTAATTATGACACGGTGTTGAAATTTGTATGGGATTATAGGTTGAGAGTTCTGTTTAGGGCCAGCTCTGAGGACTTGTGGCCCATATGCCTCTGCAATCAATGAGAGGCATGGGACCGCACTGGTACCCAGAAGATGATAAAATATCCACGACTTGTTATCCATTTATATAACTTCTGGCTTGGGAAGCATTTTAGTTTCCATTACAGAATTTGTTTGCTTATTCATATGGAATTGTGTGTCTCTTTCCAGCAGTGTTGTGACCTGGGATACCATGCTAGCCTCAACAGAGCTCTCAGGACATTCTTGTCTGCTGAGCTAAACCTGGAGCAGTCAAAGCACGAGGGTCTGGATGCCATTGAAAACGCCGTTGAGAACCTGGATGCCAACAGTGATAAGCAGCGCCTGATGGAGATGTACAACAATGTCTTCTGTCCGCCCATGAAGTTCGAGTTTCAGCCGCATATGGGAGATATGGTCAGTTTATATTCCTCCTCCGGCTCTAGCTCCGTAAACACTTGCAGCTCCGCCTGTTTACTTCCCTCGTCTTTGATAGATAGACCCACTAAAAGGCCACCTGTTTGGATCTATTTCTGGGAGGTAGAGGGGAGCCTTAGAAAAGGGAGCTGGTATAAAGATTAAGCAGAGGCTTATGGCATGGATGTCTGAATATGACCGACTCTTACTTTTTGACTGTCAAAGCTAGTGAAGATGAAAATGCTTAAATAGGTATAATAGTAAATGTGGATAGGAGACGCTGTTTTAACCTCTCATTCAACCCACAAGTTAACCCCTGCACCCTGAGACAGACTCTGAAGTTAGAGATTTGAAGGGCAACAAGATAAGAAACTTAAATGTTGTGTTTTGAGGCATTTGAGTGTGTAATCTTAGAGCACAAATGGTTTATAGTGATGCTTTATGCATCTTCATTGTGAGACAAGGCAGTCAGAGGACTTTCATTTTTGGCAATGAAAATCCCTCTTTATAGGTTTATCAAGATGTGGTTACTCATCTGGGAACTGTTTAAATTTGCACAAGCTGAAACCGGTTCTAAATGGGAACACATGTACAATGTAATAATTTAGGTCAATTGGTTGGATTTCTAGATTATCCTCCTGAACACTGAGGAAACACTGTAAGGATGGTCTCTTGCAGCCAGCCTCTTCTTTTGGTCGAAGAACTACAGTCGCTTCTTAAAGCTTCTCTTTGTCTCTTCCCTCAAGTGAAACCCTCAGACTGCAGATGACCTTTCTTGGTTTTTCTGTGCTTTGGTAGTATCCTATAAGATCGTGGGAAGAAAAAGAATTACCTGCAGACTGTCCTTCAGTTAACAGCTCACATTTGCCGAATCATTTATCTTGACCCTTCTCGAGGCCAAATGAGTATTTATAAACGCAGGCTGATAGTCTTGTTGCAATGGTCCTGCATATATCAGACTGAATATATGATGCTGTATGTGCATGTGTGTGATAAAACTCCAATTCCAATTTCCGTCTTTAAAAAATAGCTTTACACAATGAGGTCAGCGTTTTCCTTTTTAACAAAAACCAAACAAAACCAAAACAACCAAAAAAGCCCCAACAAAAGTAAACAGAAAAGCTGCCTCATGCTGTGAAATAAGACTAATTCTTAACAGTGGGGAGAAGCCCACTGTTCTGGAATATTTGACAGGTCCCTAACCTGTTCTTCTCTTATTTCAGCTCTCCTGAGTTCATTAAATAGTGAATTGTACCTGTTGCTGTAGTGGGCAAGTAGTTCATCTGAGCAAGCTCAGCCGCTCATACCCTTGCCCCAGGGTGCCTGGCTAATACATTGAACCAAATTCTTCTTGATGTGCAGCATGATTTAGCCTAATATCTGTCATAAAGCACCTTCAGACTTTTAAAGCACGTGACGAGCTTACATTACTGAGAGTGGCTATTTTTTTCTAGTTCTTCTTTGATGTTCATGTTCTCTCTCTTGCTCGATTTTCAATACAGTCAGGAAGGGAACTGCAATTAGTTAGAACACGAACCTTTTCCACTGGTTCAAATCCAGGGCTACAAAGTTTTAAAATTAACCACTTTGGAAGATGTTTGCTTATAATAATTGAATTAAGTAATTACAATATTCTTGATTATGTGGTTTTTTTCCCTAGCCCTCTAAAAGCAGTGCTGTTTCTCTTCCAGGAGTCGCAGCTATGTGCCCAACAGCCAGTCCAGAGTGAGTTAGTGCAGAGGTGCCAACAATTGCAGTCTAGATTATCTACACTTAAGATTGAAAACGAAGAGGTGAGCTTAACAACCAGAATCAACAACCTTTTCATTATTTCCAGTGGGGGGTGGGGACTAATCAAGGAAGAATCTAGTTTCTGTGAATCTCTTTTATGAAGACTTGCGGTAAAATTCAAGAATAAGGCAACTGAGGCCAGAAGTATATCAGTGTGTGTTTTCACATGAAAATGTCATGCATGGAGAGGATCCTTTAAAATACCCACACGTATCTCTTTTCCCGTCCCTAAGTTGATAAGGCTGGCTATGTTGCAAAAGTTGTGTTTGAATAACTAGTAGCAAAAGAGGAGTTTAATGTTTTGAAGTGAAGACAGTGAATTTGCGTAACTTAAGGTAAGAGGTAATTTTTGTTTAATTGGTCATATAAGATGAGAAGACTAGATCAATGGCATTTGTTTGGGAACACATCAAAATACCTAATCTGTACTTCTGTGTTCAAGCATTTTTAATCCTCCTTGGGCAAAATTTGCGACTCCTTTATGTCTAGGGAGTTGATTCTGGCCTTCAGTAAAAATTTACAGTGCCGCAAAGTCGTGGTTTTAATATCTAACATTTGATGCCCAGTAGATGCAGTTACAGAAGATGATTATAAGATCTTTGTTCCAGCACTCTTTGCTTTGAGGTTAAATTTCCTTACATCTCCTCCTCATGCCTGTTTCTTAGGAAAATGCTCCAGGGTACTTACTGCCTCTGTGTTTCCCTTGCAGCATACTGTCTTCATTTTTTAAGTACTCTCATTCTTGCTGGACAGGTTAAGAAGACTATGGAAGCTACGCTCCAGACAATCCAGGATATAGTCACGATAGAGGACTTTGATGTCTCTGACTGCTTTCAGTACAGCAACTCTATGGAGTCTGTTAAATCCACTGTCTCGGAAACGTTCATGAGCAAACCGAGCATTGCCAAGAGACGGGCCAACCAGCAGGAGACAGAGCAGTTCTATTTCACAGTAAGGAGTTAATTTTCAGGATGAGCACATATAATGTATTTACAGTTATACTCACAAGAGAGTGCAAAATGATGCTATCATCTTACAAAAATGCTTCTGTAATTGATTTTTGGACAAGCAGAGTAAGCATACTGGGTTTTAAAAATGGGTGCTTTGAATTCTTTACAAATATATTGGGATACCTTTGTTGATGCAAACTTAGTCTGTGGATAAATTGTGTAAAATTTGGTTTCTTCAGCGTCTAAAAAGGAATTGTCTGAGAAATCACTTAAAAGCTTGTAAATATCAATTTTCAAAAATCATACAGACTAAAAGAATGTTTAACTCTTTCATTTTTTGTTATTATTGTCTTACAGTTTCAGCTCACATAAGCTTTTAATTGAGTCGATACATTTTTACAAGATGCTAAGAGCTTTTTATATTGAATTTCATGCCATACTATATGTTTTTTCCTAAATTAGATCTATGTTAAACTGTTCAGTTCCTTTCTTTTTATTTCAAAATAGCAGATGAAAATCATACCTCTTATCCTGGTTACTTTGTCATTCCTTTGGGCATCTTTTGCAATACTTAATGCTCTTTACATTCCTCTTCCAAGAACGGTGTTGCTTATTAAAAGTCTGAAGTCTCTGTGCAAATTACAGTAGCTGGCAGGATGGTTTCTATCAGACCTTGACTTACGAAAATTAAAAAGCCTTCATAGAAGGTGAAACTGGCCATTGAGAAAAGTGGGTGGAGAAATGAATTCAATTAAGAAGGGAATGGCCGCTCTGCCCAGGGTTATGAAACTAGAAAAATGATTTTTTTAATTGAACTCTAAGCGTTCCCTCTCTGGAGAGGGACTATTGTAAGTTCAAGAAGGAGACCGAACCCAGGATGTTACTTGGATGTAATATTTTTCCATTTCGCCGTGTCAGTATCCTGCTGCAGAGCAGTGAGGTCCCAGCAGGACTGCGGAGCTGTCTCTGTACGCAGAAGTGCAGCCTGCCGTGTCCTGCACGACGTGGGTAAGATAACTGTCAACGGAGCAAAGCTGTTGATGGAGGCCCTCTTTAACCGGCCTCATCAGATGCTTGATTGATCTGCTGTGGACCAGACTTATCAGTATTCTTTATAAGGATTCCAAGCTTTGAATCCATAAGGAGCCGTTCTTTTCAGTGTATGAGAAAATGCTCACTTGAGTATTAATGAGACTGAGGGCAGAGCTGTGTAGCAATATGGGCGAGGCGTTCTTTGTGTAGGGGGGGAAACCAAAGCGTAGTGCAGAACAGAGATTTAAATGCCCTCGTCCCTTATGATGTGCTAAATACTGAGGGATATGAACTGAAAGAAAAATATTAATTAGAAAGAGTATCCCATATTACTATGTAACTCAAGCTGGCAATTCCACATACTGCATTGCTAGCTAGGCAGAGCTCTTAGGTAAATAGAGTGATGCCACCATGGGTATTTAGTTGAAGGAGTGCTGACTGTGGTGTCTCTACGCTGGTATAAGCTGTATTTCCACTAGAGGTGTAGCATTGCACGCTGGTGGCGAGATGGCTCTGTTGTTAGGGCTTTGGAGGAAGATTTCTATTCAGAATAGAAGCTTAAACTTCCCCCTGTCAGTGAAAAGCAGAGAAATGATGACTGACTTAGCACTAAGCTAAAGCAGGTAGCTAAAGCAAGGAAGCAGCAGCGACTTGAGGAACTGAAATGCAGGGATGTGTCGTGGGTGCCTGGCAGGTGGGTACCACCGCTGCCATGGCTACAGCCCTGCTTCCCGAGAGCTGGCGTGAGGATGCCTGTCAGAGATGAAATCGCACTCCTAATTGTAATACAGCTGGCACCCCGCCCTACCTGGGAAGCAAAAAGGAGAATGAATGATTTGATTCTTTTTACCCCTAAAACAGGATAATTTTAGTTCTTAGTCAAGATATTATTTTTTCCTTTAGAAAGATTACAACCCAGTACAATGCTCATTCTGTGAAGAGCTTTAAAAATTAATGTAAATTTATTATTACCAAACCCCTAAGACATGGGTAGGTATTATATAAAGTTCCCCTGCTAATCAATCCTACAGAAATGTCATGCTGGTTGTGTCAATGTGCCACTGTTCCCACGTTCAGTCGCTAGCAGCGGCGCAGGGGAGCGGGGGTCTGATTCACCCGCTCCGTCAATCGAGTGCCTTGTTTGAAGTCGTTCTTGGGGGGTGGAGGGAGGGAGGGAAACTGCTGAGCTTTCCAGATTGGAGACAGTTAAGGATGTGGGACAGTGGCAGAAACTGTTTTTCTTTATAACCTCAAAAGCATAAAATCTCCTTTCCCACAAAGCAGGAAGATAGGGTCTAGTTTGCATTTCGCTTCGTTATGTATGCCACCTGACAACTGGAAAAATACTGCAGTGAGTTTGGGCTTAAAGAGAGTGTCGAAGTTGCATGGTTTTGAGGAGGTGGTAGATGCAAAATTCTCACCATCTCTGGCTAACAACAGATCTTCACCTCTTAATTTTTACAATGCAGAAGTAATGTGACTTGAGGACGTTTCTACTGCTTTGTGCTTGAGTGTACTTCGCCTGACTCCAGCTGTGCTCTGCCAGTAATGAAATCCTTAGGAGTTCTCCTGTAGTTTGATTTTTGTATTTTTTTTTTTTTACTGTTTTTATTAAGCCAGAAATCAAATGCTAATGAGTCTTTGTAATTCATTGAAAAAAGCCTGAAGCCTTATTTTGAAAATACTTATTTTTTTCATAAGCGTACTTATAACAGGCAGGGTACAGAATGTTAGGCATGAGGAAATAGAAAGAAAACATGCAATACTGCCCTGGATAGGAACCTTCTCTTTTTCTCCTTTAAAGCAATCAGTGGTACCCCTCCGCGAGCAGGTGATGTTCTTAACGTGACCGCTGCAAATGCCTGGAAGCTGGAGCGATCGGCCAGAGCATCTGCGACTGCCAGCAGCGTGCTTCTGGCCTGCCCTGCCCCATGCCGAACCTCAGCCACCCCTGGTCTGAGCTTAAGTTTTTATGTCTGCTTCAAAGGGAAGCTTAACGCTTCCAAACCAAGTCAGTTTGCTGATCTTTAAGCTTCTGTTTGAGCTACTCGGAGCTGAGCCTTCTAGCCCTTCTGTCTCTTTGCCTGATCGGAACTTTGAGATGAGGAGCTCAGCAGAAACAGATTTATCCTGAAACCCCCACTTCAAATTCTCTGGTTATTTTTGCAGCTTATCCTCTCCACGTTTTCTTCTGTCAAAATTTGATACAAGAATTTAACGGATTGAGCGAAATACATAGTTGGGGCTTGACGAACAGATTCTACAGGGAAATTCCAAAAAATATGGTTAACTGTTTTTAACACAGTGATCACGCTTCCTGTTTTCTTCTCAAACAACAGCAAAAAAAGTTGAAGTAGGAGTATAAGAAGCAGGAAGTGCTGAGACTCTCCAAAGGGACTTAATTCTTGTGAAATTTTTCTTTCAATGTTGTCAACCAAAGGGACATAAAACACAGACTTTTGGCAGGTAATTAAAGCCCCAGCCCAGCCATTCTTGTCCGTCGTGTGGGAGCACACTGCTGCTGGAGAGCCTGCAGGGGAGACTTCGTTAGCTCCTGGAAGGTTCCCCCCCCGCCCCAGTACTGCCGCAGTATATGGATGTGTATCTATGGCTTCTCAGGTCTTTACATCTTGCACGGAGACTGCCATTGTTATGGCCTGCATAGGACAAGCAGGGTCCAGGCGCTCTCATTGCTAAAATCCTGGTTTTCACCTCAAGGATTTGCGGTCTAATTTGGCAATACCAGACCAGAACTGAAAGAAAGTGGATAGAACTGGGGAAAGCTGAAGACAAGAACGGGAACGTTTCATTATTAAATGAGAATCCTTTCTTTATGTTAATTTGGCTAGCTGAATTTTTAAAATATCTCCTGATTCTAAAGAATGGCCTGTGGTATTTGATGAGTTATGTGCTATTTATGTATTTTTGAGTGTAAACACGTCCTAATTATAATGTGGACAGCTACCCTGCAGCACAGTATTTTACGTGCTGCAGCACGGTGAAGATAAATAATGCTGTTCTGAACTGCAAAATACGAGATGAAAGAGCTGTAAAAAACTAGCATTTGCAGAGCTGTGAAAAATCAGAAGTGGGAAAAATGACTGCATGATTGTATAATGTTTCACCAAGAGAACAAATCCAAACTTAAATAATATCTTTATTTGTTTTGTCCTCTGCCCCCCCTGCAACCCTGTGTATCATCCAGCGTGGAGGCAGACACGCTATTTGACAAGTAAAGTGGGGTGAGAGAGGTTAAGTGAGAGAATAAGCACAGTAGCAGCCTTTTAGTTTGTTAAAACAGATTGCTCATTCAGTTGTGTGTGACGTGCGAGGGAAGCGCATTTCCATTTCGCCCTGTCTGGAGAGGAGATGCATGACAGCTTCTCAGATGTCTTAAAAGATGCCAAACATTCAGCTGATTCCACAGTGAAACAATAGAAATTGCACTGCAGATACGTATGGACAGAGCTTCAGATTTGCCTAGATGTACAAACCAGGAGGACTTAATTCATACTTTGCACCGAAAATTTCAGTGTGATTCTGTACCTCAGCATTGTGTTCAGAATCCAGTAAGCTAAAGATGCAACTGAAGAAATTAATTGTCCATTCATGATCTTGGGTTTGTTGTTTGTTTTTTTTTCCACCTTCACAGAAAATGAAGGAGTATCTGGAAGGCAGGAACCTGATAACGAAGCTCCAAGCCAAACATGACCTTCTTCAGAAGACCCTGGGAGAAAGTGAGTCTGGGACCTGCTCATTACTGCTATTAGCCAGGCTGTTGCCCTTATTGAATTAGTCAGCTGACTGAGTGTAACGGTCTTGGATTACTGATGCAAAGTGGACATACTCATGTTTTATGAATTTATTTTTCCGATCTGCATGATGGAGAAGCCAGATGACCTACGTGGCTGCTTGATCAACGGTGAACGGAAAATGCTTAATGAATCACTAATGTTCATTGCTTATTTGTTAAAATGAAGCATATGCCCACTCGTTCATCCTGTCCTCTCCCCGTACACGTACATTCTGCTTCTCACTTAATAATCTGTATTGGGGTAAACCTTGTGATTTAGAGTTTACTGATTAGTTGAGAAGTATTGCCTTGTTAGGCTGGTCAGAAGTTTCATTGGCATGGTAGTTTAGCTGCTTGCCACCTCTGTGGGTTCAGTCCAGCCCAAAGTAATGTGTGGGAGCAGGGGCTTTTATTAGGAGAATAACAAACAAATTTCAGAGCATGTAAAGTATGTTGCCTATCCTAGAGGGCATTAGTCAAGGGGCAGCCGCCAGAACTGAATATGCATTTTTCAGAGCATGTAAAGTATGTTGCCTATCTAGAGGGCATTAGTCAAGGGGCAGCCACCAGAACTGAATATGCATCTGCTATTAGTGTCAGAACAAAGGCAGATTTCTTTCCCTTCATGGTATGGGCAAATCCTGTTGGCCAAACAGACTTAAACTATGCATCCAAGTTTCCATAGAAACCTGTCTGCCTTGTGTTTGCAGAGGAGAAGGTTTTAACAGTCTAAATGTCAGGTCAAAGAATGGCTCGACTCGTTCCTGGGTTTATATGCTGGAGCAGGGCTCATGTTTTGGTAGGTAACTTAGCTGGACTCCCCACAGTTTATGGTGTGCAAATCTTCTGAATGAAAACTTAAACAGCATGTGGTCTTTGAAGTGCTCCGCTTTCCGTTTAAAAATGCACTATAAAAATAAAATACTTACTGCTACAGTAATTAAGAGTTTCATGTTTATGAGACCCAGACCACTAGAAGGTAAAGGAAGGATGTTGCTGTTGTTTTGAGGTTTATTGTTTAAAGTTGCTCATCTCTTCAGCTGTCCTGTAGAATGGGTGGATGAAGGCAAAGATCTATGTCCTTAGGGTATTTTTCTTCTGCCTCTAAGTATCGCCAAATGACACCCATGCTGCCCCTGTGACTAATCACATTCCTGGATCATAGCTGACCTCTGCATACCGAGACCTATTTCCTCTTAACCTGCCTGCCCCTTGAACCCATCTCAAGCTGTGGTGAGGGGAAAAGGAGAGGAAATTAAATGTGATTTCTGTATTGCTATGCAGATTTAAAGGCTGCTTCTGTTTTTTTGTGTTTGCTTTGCAAACCAGAGCTTTCTTAGTCATTCTGTGAAGGCACCCAGTGTGTGTCAGGGTGAGCTCCAGCAGCTTTTGAAAAAAATCTCTTCTGTCATCTGTGAGATCAAAAGAGCTGAGAAAGGGAGGTACATTTCGTCTCCAAAACTACATCAGCAGGCTAATGGTACAAACTGGGGACCATGCCTAGACTTACCCATAAAATGTCACTTAATTGGGAAATGGGCAAATAAAATTCCTTTCACAAGTCCCTGGAGCATGGTTAGAAGCTTTACTGAAAAATGTGCATACAGCTGCCTGTCTTCAGTCCCTGGAAAATTCATGTTTTTGTTATGATTTTTATTCTTCTTTGCCCCATCCTCAGGTGACATTTATTAGTCCTCTTGCAAATTACTTTAATCTAAAGATGACAAGTTCCAGTAATAAAAATAGCAGCAAGTCTTCCTATCTACAAGTAATTATGTCCCTGCCTACTGTACACATTTGTCACCCTAATGTAGGAGCCCCTTGATGTTGCCACAGCCATGTAATTTATATATATGAATATTCTATGATGGAAATGGGACAGATGGCTGGAAATTCTGCTTCGGAATAACATTTTCATGTAAATTATGCACTGTTTTGGCTTTACGTAGGGAGAGGAAAGTGGCTATCAAGACGTGTTCAGCTAATTGTCAGCCATCAGCAATTAGACATTTCCCTCGTTCATTCTTCCATCTCCGCAGGAGCAGGAAGACAACTGTAGGGAAGGTGGATTTTCAGCTGTTCTAAATCAGTATGGTTTCACTGATGGTGATCTATACCAGCAAAAGATCTGGCCTGTACAATTCCCGAAGGCACATCGTGGTTTTCTGTCTCTCGCTCCTCGTTGTGCTGTTCTGAAATGATGCCTGCATTAGCAGTAGTTGTTAGCTTGGCCCCTTCCTTGCAAACTCAGTGCAAGTTAATGGAATGTTTTTATAAATATGTTTGTGGAAAATATCATTAAACGTCTGTCTCCCAAAATAGCTTAATGCCAGCACGTTCAGTCTGTGGGGTAACAAATCTGTGAATGTTTTCAGTCTTACTAAGTGGCTTTATAAAGTATAATCTCTGCCCCACCAATTCCCCTGGGAAGGAGGAAGGAGGGAGAGGCTGACAAGCCCAGTTTTTTGGCAGCAGAAGTCAACAATTAGAATGCACAGGGAACTAATTTTCAAAAACAATACTTTCCAAAGAAAGAGTCCTTGGGCAGGCCAAGCTGTTTGCTGCGTTTCCTGGTGAGCTGCGGCGGAGCTGTGCCGGCAGGGATGGGCTTCGGTGGTCTCCCAGCAGCGCTCCTGGGGGAGGCAGCCACTGTCCGGTTCCCCAGCGCTGCCCCCTGCCTCTCTGAATTTTATTTTTTTTTTCTTCTTCCATCTACTTCCAAAACTGGCTTTACAAAGCTGTTGAAAGTATTTTCCCATGCCTCTCTCCTAATGCGGTATTTCTTTGTCTTCTTAACAGGTCAACGGACTGACTGTTCCGTTGCCAGGTAGGTGTGGCTCGGGGTCATTTTTTAAGGAAAATCTGATGCAAATTGGTCACTGCCATTCTAGATCAGTTACCGGCCCAGGATATGTATCTGTTAGAAAAAGATACTCATTTAGCTTAATATACAAGCAAATTCCTGCTAGTTAATATGGCTTTAAATACAATCGCTCTTACCTCCATCAGTGCAAGGTGGTGATGCAGCTCATACTAACCTCTGGTCAGGTGAGTAATAAATATTTCTTTCGATGCAGTGCCTGCTTAAACACCTCTCCTTGCTTGTTGCTGCCCTGTGCTGCTGCCCCAGCGGTGGCACTGCACCTGCTGGCAGGGGCTGCCTGTTGCAACAGGTTGGGAAACTGATTGGAGTTAAAAATAACCAAAGAGGGGGAAAAAAAAAAAGGTACACGGAGGTCTTACACTTTTTCTTGCCCTGGTGCATTTAATGCAGATCAGGAAGGGATGGGCAGGTGTGAGAAACTGTTTAATTTGGCACTGTCACCCAGAGAAGTATTCTTCGAACTAAGATTTTTATAAACACGTTCTTGTTTCTGTAACGGAGGTGGGCCCAGTGACTCTGCAGGGTTTATCCACATGGTTGGTGTACGGGGCTGAGTAATGTAAATGGGAAAACTCTTTATCCCATTGATGCTCTCTGCTGTGCCGTAGAACTGCATTGCAGCAGTACAGAGGTGATGGAGAATAAACTTTTCATTTATAATTAGGACCAATCACAGAACCATAACTAAGCTTCTCCTGATGGGGTTTTTATAAAACATAACAAATCTGCATCTCCAAATTGATGGATTCAAGGGGCTCCGCCGGGCACGAGGAGCTGGAGTAGGGGCTGTGCATCATCCTGCCTCGTTAACAAAAGGAAGGTGATTACTACCGATCTGGAGTCATTACTACTTTTCACATTCCTTACAGCAAAGCAAAGCTGACAGGTCCTAATTAGAGCCTGACATCTGTAATAATAAAATATTATTCATCATGAAACAATTTTGAATATCAAAGATTCATTACTGCTAATAGTTTAAAATAGACCTTATTGTCTGTGACAGCCCATGGAATCTGATTTTTTTATTTCATTCAGTGTTTTTGATTTTCATAAAAGGAATTTCCCCTGAATTAACATATTGTACAGTCTTTTTAAAAATCACTGTTCTAATCATCTTATTTATAATTCAGCAGCCATCTGCCCTAGCAGGGAATTGGCTTGAATGATACCTTAAGGCCTCTCTACTTATCCCTTATGCTTCATTTTTACAAGAAACTATAGGAATTTTAAACCCCAGTAATAAATTTTGAGGGAAAAATCCTGGCAGAGCAAGGCTTTTTCCTATTTTTCTACAATTAATGTTTACCAGCATAAATAAGAGACCATCACAGTTTATACTGAAAAGCCTTAGCCTGGCTAGTGTGTGCTGGTGTTTGAGGGGGTTTGTGTTAGTTATTTATTTGAAGTCTTATCAGAAACTATAATAAAGACTCCGCAATGGCAGCTGTTAACAGCCCAGTAGGAACCAGCACGCTCCCACCTGCTTCTCCCCTCTGTAGGGTGGCTCTGTCAGAGAACAGCTACGTGCAATTTATAACAAACTTCATCTTCAACAAGGAGCCCTATATAACAGATTTCCATATGGTTGGAATTAAAATGTCAAGGGTAATCTTTTGTCAAAGCAGTGGACTGCCTTGTGTCTGTTTCAGGTTTTTAGTGATTTAAAGTCACTTAAAGTCTTTCTGAAGTTCCGTAAATTGAATGAGACTAAGTCGTTATGATTGACTTGTATATCTGGCTCCTTCCCTCCTCCAAAATGTGAGTGGTTTGGAATACCAAATGAATGAACCGATGATAGTAGAGGATTATCTTGACTTTTCTGTTCTGTTTTTCCCTCCTGCACCAATGGGCGGTTCTGATCTCATCAGCGGCAGGCGCAGCTCTACCATAAGGAAGCAGGTAATAAACGTTTCTGTAAGTAACGAAACAGGGATACGTGTGTGTTTGTGTAGAGGAGGGTAGATGGAAGGCGGACAAGTGTTTTTATCCTTCCCTCCTCTTACTGGACCTTTTCAGTCCTGTTCAAGTGGAACTGGTGTCTGCTCATTCAGTAGCTGAAATCAGTAAAACACAGATCCACAGCCTTGATTAATTTTCTTCGACAAAATTTTAAAATAATTTTACTCTGTGTTTTGACAGACCTGGCACCAAACATGCCAAACAGCCTTGAGCTGTCTGGACAGTTGTGGTGTATGGGTTTCATGCTGTTGTTTCTTTGTCCCCTTTCTCTTTATTTTCACTGGTATCCCAGTGCAATGCTATTAAACCAGTAACTGCTCACTTCTTGTGCCTTCTTGTAATAAAGACTTACAACAGCGGTGCTTTGTTTCCTGGGCTGTGGTGGATAATCTGTTACTTTTTAGTACCTGATGAGCTAAAATGTGTTTCTTTGAGACAGGGAAAAACCAAAAATATTTCTTGTTGATACTGTAAAGATAAAATTTGGCTTGGAATTTCATTTAATACAGTCTGTTTTGGAGTGCTGCTTTGTAGCTTTTAGGATCTCTGTATATTGGAAATTAAGTAAGAGAGCAAGTTGTGGTTTTGGTGTGCAGAGTCAAACCTTTCTCATTTTCTGAGCTTAATTGTTGTTCTTTTATTTATGCTCTAAAAATGGTCCTTTCCTATGCTGAAAATGAAGTATGAGTGTGTCTTGATTGCCATTTTCACAAGTAGTTTTTGAGATGTCTCAGAAGCATATTCTGACTCGAGTCTCTGACTTGGAAACCTAAATTAAAAACTGATCTGTTCACAAACATTGAATCCATAGCTCGCAGTAACCTCATGAAGTCGCTTGTGTGTGGCTTTAATAGGGATTTTTGATTGTCACCTAACAAACAGAACTACTCTGAGACTTTTAATCTCTGCTGAGGACCCAGAATATCTGCTTCTCTGTGAGTTCCTACTGTCAAACTCAAAAATAAGTCTGAGGTGTTATCATGCTGTTTGGATGATTCTTAATAAAGCATGTCCTCAGGGGCCGGTTGAGCAGCAGAATGGCTTTTGAAATAATCTTAATTGGTCGGTGTTGTTCTGTACAGCATCTGGAAAACTAGTTCTAACTGGCTATGGCTAATTAGTAGAGAAATTATTGTCACTACATGACCAAGTTCTGTGACATTTCAATAAAACAAAAAAAAACATTAAACATAAACAAGTTAGGAAAAGGGTTGAACTGGGTTTTTATGTATTTTTTCTTTGAGCAGAGGACTGTCATCTTTTTGAACTGATCAAAATACGATACTGTAGCATCCTAGCAAGTGAGCATTTTGTTATAAATTAGAGGCATTGCTGTCCAAGGCTACTGTAGAAGAGGCTATACATAAACAGAAATGGAAGTTTTAATCGCATGGCAATTTTAATCACCAGCATCTGACTTCAAGCAAACTGCAGCACTCTCGTTGCCTGGCTGCTTTTCCCCAAAATGGGAGAAATATCTACAGACCTTGCAGAAATTCAGTTGTCTGAAAAGTGATCTGTGATCCTGTGCAACAGAGACTAGGGAAGTGTAAAGGCTTGTGTCCATACTGAAAATCTCACTTAATGTTGTTTAAGCTGGAAACTGGCAATCTAGAAGATTTTACTGTGTTTGGGCCTTGAGCTGATGACAGTGTTTGCCATGAGCAGGTACCTGTGTGGTGCGCCTTATTTAATGGGTTGTGACCGTACGACACTGATGTGCTGTTTACTAAACACATCTGGAACTGCATGGAAGCAGAATGTGGCAGATGAGAGGACAAATTTGTTTTACATTCTTCCCCCCCGCCGCCCCTTTTACCTTGCTGTGCATGCTGTCTGCTCTTCATGTTTAAATTTCTCTTTGCGCAGGATTCCTCACAAGCCATTCCCCTGGTCGTGGAGAGCTGCATAAGGTTCATTAGCAGACATGGTGAGTTTATGGTCAAAAGGTATCCTGTGATATTTCTGTAAAATGAACAGTGATGTAGAAGCCTTCTGAAAAATGTTCAGAGTTAGCTTGGGACACGGTGCTTGTGCAGAGCAATCCTAGAGACTGCAGTGTAAAGAAAGTCACGCTGACTCTTTGGCTATATTGTTGGTATTGGGTGTGTGATCACCTTTCCGAATAACTGACCTTGCAAATGTTGTTCTTCCAACAATATCCCTTTGTCTCTTGCAAAATAAGTTTGCCATCCTTAGATACCACTCATGCCTCGCCTCCACTCACCTTGTTTTGAGCCCTGAAATGTGGCCTTCACCGACAATAATCATGCTCTTCCTAGAGGAGGAGGACTACTCTTAAGTATTTGAATATGGAAGGTCAAGTAGGGAATTAATGCTTACTTATTGCTGCAGTGAGATGATTTATACCTGTTTGGAAGGGTAACTTCACAGCCTTGAATGCTGTAAAAGATTTTATAGATTTATTGTAATTTGTTTTCATTTTTAATCGATATCATTTGTTAGTAGCCTGTGAAACAGCTGTTAATTAACATATGTAGAAAGAGGTTGAATTTATCTTCATTAATGAAGACACAGAGCCAGATAGTAGGTCCCGTTTCATTTTCCTGGTTTAATTACCATTTTAGAAACTATAATCTAGAGTCCCATTCTCATCATCACTTGGAAGAACCAAATGCTGTAATCCTTCATTAAGGCCGCGGTTAGACATTTGCTGGAAAAATCATTGGAACCACATTGCAATGCGAACCGACGCACGACAAATCGGGGCCATCAGGAGATTTCATTTTTTAGACTCATATTCCTGAGTTAGCTTAGAAACCCAAGAGAAAGATTTTTCCAACAGACTCAGCTGATTTCTGCACTCCATGTCAGATCATGGCATAGAGGTACAGTGTGGAGTTAGAAGGAATATGCTGTTATAGAACAAATCCATGTTAGGCAGAAGAAATTACAAAACTGCCTGCCTGACGCACTTACATTGCAGGAACGAATTTTGTTGGAGGTAGCCTGACTGACATTTCTAAATGCTTTGCTGCGTAGGTGTGGGCTGAATGTCATTTTCGTTCTTGCTTCTCTGCACTTGGGATTGTTTCTTTTCGCTGTTCATAGCCGTGTGTCACAGCTACCAGATGCAGCCACATATGCAAAGGTTTCATTGCGTTGTGATAAAAACAGTCGCAGAAATTGAGAGGAAGAGGCCACAGATGCGTTCAAGAGAGCTTGTTAGTTTATAGCCGTTATTATAAATAAAGCAAAGACATTGCAACATTCCTCATTTTGGAAAGTCTACAGTTAAAAGGCTTGAGCGAATGGGAGTAGGTTTCCCTACGTGAAGCATATCCTTTGTTCATTAGTTGATTTGTAATGGTTGTTGCTCGTCTTAACACGTACCAACAAAATTGTTATGATGGTAGTATATTAGAACGTCTCGCCTACTTGATAATTGGTTTTAATGACGTTGCTAATGCTGACTTTTTAGCAGGAATGTCTTAAAGG